AAACAAGCAGACCATTTCAAAGTCCTGGTGAGAAAGATGCCGCTTGTTGTGATTTACAAATCTATTCAAACCGCTACTCCTTTCTCCAGATAGCCAGAAAGGTTTTCTTCCTCTGCCTCATCTCTCCCATGTAGAGCTAGGAGACTAAAGCTAAAGCTTTTTTGTAATATAAGATTAAAATTGAATGTTAAAATTTTTGTAAGAGTCATCAAGTCCCTACAGAGATGGAGAATTAGATGTCATAATAACTCATGGCATTACATTACAAATGTCCAAGGTTACTGGCCACCAAATACTAGATTATCTCAAAGGCTACTCATAAATTTTTCCTGCTGCCAAGTAATATAACATCTTTTAGTCTTGCAGCACTAAGGTACCTTCAGTGCTTTTAATCTTCAGAATCAGGTCTCAGTTGAACAAAGAAATAATTCTATGTAGACACGAGGAAATGAACCAAAAGAATGAATGTATTCCTTCCAGCCCAGTCCCACTTGTGTGAACTATGGATTAAGTCACAAATAAGACTGCAAATTCATCACCAGGCCCCAGGGGTATGCTATCATTAAAGTTAAAGGCGTCCAGAAACTTCTCAAATTGAGAAGGAAGACAGTTGGGTTGGAATTTCCAGCCCCTCCTTAAAGTTCTGGCAACCTGTTCCAAATCAACTGAAAGTGAGTTGAACGGACATCTGTTCTTCAGAAAATATTTGGCACCAAAGAAAATTGCAGATTAGAACCAACTAATACTGTTGTGGGAAGAAAGACATAAAGGGAGGAGAGAATGGGAAAATTAGAATCATCTACCTATTAGCAAACAACTAACTTCATCAATGCCATTAGAAAAGAGAAGGGAAGAAGGAAGAAGGAAATTCAATGGAAGAATTGTCCTTCTTTCAAAAGAGTTAACACTGACTCTGGGAACACAAAATTTCTGTATTTGAGATTAATATTTGCACATTTACTATTTGTTTAATGATTCAATATTGGATTGTCTTCAAGAGGAAAAGCCATCAATTAGTCTGTTTAGAGTTGGGTAACAAAACCAACACATTCAACGATGTCCAAAACAATACTGGTGAATCATTTTCTAAGCTTTGATAGACTAGTGGATCATCTTATGGTGAGATTATTACAGGTTTTCCTCTGATCCCAAAATCACTTAATACAACGAAAATACCATGTAGTAGAGCTCAAAGCATAACTCAAGTTGTAGAGTACCTGCCTAGCAAGTTCAAGGTCCTGAGTTAAATTCCTAATATTGCCAAATAACAACAACAACAACAACATGGAGCATCCATTTTCTTAGCTTCTAGTCAAACTATTCGGCATTACTAGAGATAAGACTGCAGATATGGCTTAATGTTAGAACTCTGGCTTAGCAAACCCAAGTCCCAGAGTTCAATCCCTGAATAAATGAATGAATGAATGAATGAATGGATTAAATAGTAAGATAACAGGATGATATCAGTAGGTAACTGAATTCTATTTTCTACACTGGAAACTTATACTTCTGAACTATTTCTCAATAGTAGGTTTAGATGTTATTAACAACAGAAAGAACGGTAGCAGTAACCATGGTAATAATAATGGTAAGAGTAAGAGCAATACTAATGGTAATACTAATAACTCACTTAAACCTCATTTCCTAAGTGCTGTGAATCATTCTAAGCATTTCAGACACATTCACTCATGAAATCCTCACATCACTCTAATAGGCAAGTGAAATGTTATTCGTTTCCTGTTTTAGATGTTCTCCACAAAATCTCTTTGTTATTTCTGTTAACAATGAGAATTACCTTTCAAAGAAAACATTTAGAACCATAAGGACAGAAAAAGAAACTTGCTCAAGGTCACCTAGTCAGAAGGTGCCAGACCTGAAACTCAGACCCAGGACACACAGCAGTAAAGTTGAACCTTTTAGCCACCATGATGCATTACTTCCCCTGGCTTAGAAGACCTTCTAGAAAAGGAATATGCCCTGCCAATTAATACGTGAAATAGGCTGTTTATCTTAGCCCCACAATAGACATACGGCCTGCTCCTACAGCTATAAAAAGTGGCTGCAAGTGTTACCCAACTATACCCCGGGTGTGACCAGGGTGAGCTCCCCTTAGATGGTTCACCTTTGCCAGCCAAGACCAAGGCTGGGGGCGGGGTGAGAGAGAAGCCTCCTTCCCAGGCCACATTTCCTGCCCAGTAACACAGTCTTCAAATAGCCAAGGCTGCAGCCTGTGAAATTCCTCACTGAAAAGTTAGGTCCCAGAGCTTTTGCCTTGAGTTTTAAGAATGAACTTTTACTCAACAATCACCTCTGATCAAGAAAGAACAGGACTGAGGAAAAGAAATAAGCAACAAAGTGTGTTTATTAACTTGCTCCATCCACCCAAGGGAACTTTTTTTTTCTGAAAGGGTGAAATTCTTAGGACTCAAAATGAACAAAAGAAAAAAAGAAAAAAAAAAAAGTCTGTGGGAAATTTAATCACCAACACAACAAAAGGGAAAAAACAAAGCCCTACCAATGAGGATGTTGCCAGAGACAATGGACCCCCACGGGAGATGCAATTGTGTCAAAGAGAGCAATCCCCTGGGAACTGGACTCACACTAAAAGCTAGCTTATTGCTATATTAGCTGAGGAATCTTTGTTCACCTGGCAACAGTGAGCAAAACCATCTGTTCCTGCCCCTAGGCTCCACCAGAGTTGGGAAGACCCCCACATTTACATTTCAAGAGGAATCTCCAGTAAGGAGGGAGGAGGTCTCTATCTCTCTCCAAGTTAATATGTTTTTTATATGGCCTGGAAGGGGGTAGGAGAGAGAACATGGTCCTTTCAGTGAAATTGAACCTCACAGTTGAAAGGAGATAGGCCCCTTCAATAATGCACAGGCAGGCTCCTGCTACCTGGCCCTAAAGCCATGCAGGCAACTCAAGCTTTCCCATTCTTCAGTTGGAATAAACGGCTAAGGACCTTAGGAATATCTTTCTTTTCTCATACTGTTATAAAGAGTGATGTCTCTTTTGTATGATATTTAGATATATGCCCTACTAAAAAAAAAAGGCCATAGATCCCAGGTGAATGTTTCATATCTTACTCTACATAGGGGCTGTGACAATACATACATATCCCAAAATTCATGGAGGCGCACCCTTCCAATACACACACTTGCCTGTACCTGAATTATACTATGATACAATTTTAAAGGGAGAGTATGTCCATGGCATTTACAATGAAGGACAGTGGGAATAAATCATTCCATAAATAGTAAAGATAGTCTGGTCTTACATCTTCCCTTCACCCCATCCACATCCAAAATCAATCTCGAGAAAGTTCAAGGGGAAAAAAAATACAGTCATGGTTCTCTCCACTCAGCCAGCAACTACGAATGTCTCTTGTGCGGCCTGTGTATCCAAGTATGCAGCACGGAGAGAACACCTGTCACATGCCACATATCAAAAATAAAAAGCCGCTGGGGTCTTGGCTGGAGTGGTAGAGCGCTTGTCCAACACATGCATAGGCCCCAAGTTCACACCCCAGAACAGCATTAAATGAGTAAATAAAATAGAAATAAAAGGCCAATGTCTTTTTCTCATACGTTAGAGGGCTATCAAATTATAAGAGACCCGGCTGAGTTTTTAACAAGACTGTAGAGTTTGTCCTGTTTCTGTTTCTAGATTCTTGGGGAAGCCTGGAAGTTAAAGGCCTGGGGCTGGAGTCTTCCATCAACACGAGTGGGGGGGGAGTTTTTTTGTTTTTTGGGTTTTTTTTTTCCCAGAGGCAACTGGGCAGGTTTAAATCTGCAGCATCTGTAGCTCTGTCACCCAGCAGCATTTGAGATCTGCGATGTTTCGGGGAGGGGGAATGGAGTTTACTTAGGGACAACCAATATTAAGATGTTCCTTCTCTGTTGGTCAGGATCAAGAGGTATACACACTTCCTCCTCCGAACCATCAGGCAAGGAGGACCGCGTGTCACCGATGGGAAAGAGGCCCGATCATGTTCATTTTCTTCCTATGTCCATCCAGACAGGTTCCTAATACAGGTCTCCAGGGGTAGCCCCCTCCCCCCCGCCATCCAAGCCCCCCCCACCCCCATTCCCGCAGATCGATCGTTTCGGTAGCGCAAAGCTACCAAGCCCCGTCTACAGATAGGCATCGTGAATCAGGATCACCCAGCAAGCCTGAGCCAGCCAGAGCTATAGTGATTTCTCTGGCCAGCCACCTAGTCATTCAAGAAGTGAAATCTGTCACCTGGGCCGGGTACCAGGTCCTTCTGAGCCCACTCTGCGGTCTGCGGGACACAGAGGCGGCTGCCAGTGGCGGAGCGGCGGGCGGAGGGCGTGCCCGCAGGTGGGTCCAGCCGCCCCCACCCACCCCTTGCCACCCTGGCCAGCCTTGCACCTGAACGGGTGCCAGGAATACAACGGAGAGGCTCGGGTGGGTATGCGCCTCCCCGGACACACACACACACACACACACACACACACACACACACACACCGCCAACTCCGCTCCTGAAGGACCAGGAGCGAGCCCAAGAGGCGGACACGAGAGCAGGACACCCCGAAATGCGGTGCCCGCGCGTGAGGACTCCGGGAGCTTAGTGCGCCTTTGCAGCGCTTCTGCTCGCCGCGGGCTTCCCTTGGCAGCGCCTGGGAAAGCCATGTCAGCTGAGATTTGTATTCGAGGCCGGGCGGGCAGGAGCGGGCGAAGGTGCTGAGGAGCGCACGGCGACACTGCAGTGTGCCCCCCCCACCCCCCAGTGCGCGCAGCCCTCCCGGGAACCCAATGCCCAAGCGCCGGGGGTGGACTGCAGATCAGATCGCCCCGGGCCGCAGAGCGCGACCCAGAGCAGCTGGCCAAGAAAGTGGGGCGTAGGGGGGGGGGGCGAGGCTGGACCTGCGGTCCGATCGGTGATCCATAGGGGTGCGGGGCGGTTCCCCAGACCCCAGCGACCCCCCACCTCACCCCCGCAAGGCCGCCCTCCCGCCGGCCACCAGCACCTACCTCGATCCACTTCTGCGCCTCGGAGAAGGCGGGCTCGGGGGGCGGCTCGGGCTGCAGGGGCTGAAGAGCTTCCAGATCGAGCGCGGGACAAGCCATTTGCGAAGCCCGGGGTCCGCTGCCGGAGCGCGCTGGGCCGCCGGGAAGAGCACGGCCGCTGCCGCAGGAGCGCGCTCCCGCCCCTTCCCGCCCGCCCTCCGGCCCTCCCCTCCGCTCCCCCTCCAGGCGCAGGTCCCCGCGGAGGCTGCCGCAGCTGTTCCCCTGCGCCGCCGGGGCCGGGCTGAGCCGTGCGTGCCCGGCGGGAGCGAGTGCGGAGACCCAGGGAGCTCCCTCTCCTCTCCACCTTCGCGGCCGCTCCGCCCCGCCGGAGGGGAGGAGGGGGCGGGGAGGGGTGGGGAGGGAGCCTGGGCTACCGACTAAAAATAACCTGGAGTGAGCACTGGGTGTCTCCCTCCTCGCTCACACCAAGACCAGGAGAGGGACCTGGCCGCCACCCCGCACGTCCCCGCGCCAGGCCTGCTGCCAAGGGGGCGGGCCCGATCGCTGCACCTGGGAGACGCACGGAGCCGGGCGCACGCGTCCCGGGGAAGGGGGTGGGCTGGGAAGGGCGGGGAGGAGAGGGAGGAACGAGCCTCTGCAGCCCCGCAGGGGGACGCGCCGGCACCAGCCGTCCCTACCAGCGCTGGGGTGAGGCTTCGAGAAGGACAGCCCCTCCCTCACCCCCGCACCCCGAAGTGCGGAGCCTTTCCTTGATCTTTATGGAAGAAAAGATAAAACTCCAGGCAAGCTATCTGGGCCCTCACTCATTGATTCATTCAAGCAATATTGATTGAGCACCTACTGCTGGCCAGGCTTTGAGCTTAGACACTGGAGATCTATAGATAGAGCTAAAATAATGCTAATTAATAATAATAATAATTGGGAGTGTAAAGGGAGGCACAGAAATGGAGGGACAAAGGATGAACAAATGAAGACGTGGTGCTCACTGGACAGCATGTGGAAAAGGAACTACACAAGGACTGGAGAGGGAGGAAAGGGAAACACTGGGAGAGCGCAAGGGAAGAGTGATGGACTCATGTAACTGTAACCGCTCTGTACATCACCTTTAGAATAACAATAATAAATCAACAAGGGCTGGGAATGTGGCTTAGTGGTAGAGTGCTTGCCTAGCATGCAGGAGGCCCTGGGTTCAATACTATATAAACAAAGAAAAAACAAATAATGCCCTCAAAGTACTGATTTTACAGGCAATGGGGTGAGGGGCAGGACAGACACTCCTCAGGCAAATGTAAAGAAGATCCTTCTACCAGGTGGCACCTATTGAAAGAGAGGATGAGCCATGGGTTGGGAGCACAGAGCACGCTGCTTTCTGATGGCCTGTCAGCCTTTCCCCTGGGAAGCTGCCCAGTGCATCCTTGTCCAGTTAATCGAGGGTGTTTATTCTCCTCCCTCCCCCTACAAGGGTCCAGAGGGCTGGCTGTGTCACTTTGGCAGCTGTCATCTCTTGCCCCTACCCCAGTGGCAGAGATAGATGTATGAAGCCCCCATCCCCACCCCGGTGGTCGGCATCCTGCCCACTTCCTTCTAACCCCCTCAGACACCCCTCCTTGAGCATGCTCCGTCCTTCCTCAGACCCTCCATGATGGTCATGAAGAGTTCTTTTGAAGAGACTATATAACGAGGCAAACGAAGGTCAACCATGCAACAGTCTGGGAGAGATGTTTCCAGATGGGAGGCCCCAGGCCTCCAGGTAAGAACAAGCCTGTTGGAATGAAGGAACTCATGAAGACCTGGGGGTGATGGCAGCATGGTGAATGACAGAAGGGAACAGAGGCAGTGCATGAGCTGAGGGCAGCCACGCTGGGTACTCACTGGAGGGCCCTAGGAGCCCAGCACTGGGTGCTTTAGCTCAGTACCCCCAGCAGACCTCCAGTGAGTGGATCCTTTAGAAAGGCCACTGGGAAGCCGTGTCTTTTCCTGGTTCAGAGCCCAAGCTTTAGTCTTGGTCCAGTTCTGTAGCTATAATTGGGGGTGGGGTGGGGCCATAAGGTAGGGCTAGCATTGCACCATTCCATGCATTGGAGTCAGACAGGCTTCAGTTTATGTACTTGGAAAACACTCAGGTGGCACTTGTGCAGTACCAGGCACTGTTCTAAGTGCAGTACAAGTGACTGACCAACCCAGTCCTCACTGCAGCTCGGTGAGACCTGAAGGACTATTAGGATCCATTTGAGGAACCGCAGTGGCCGTGTGGGGGGCGAGGGAGAGGGAGCTGAGACTCAAGCCCAGACAGCCCAGCACCAGCTCTACTATGACTGCAACTCCCAGCTACCTTTCCACTCCCATCCACACTGCCACTGGCATTTGCCTCAGTTTCCACATCTCACAGGAGGTTGAAGTAGCTACCCAGCAGAACTGAGCAGAGCAGCAGACATGGTAATTATGAAAGACTGGCCAGCACATAGCCAGTACTCAGTACTGGCCAGCTGACCACCCCCTTCCACCCGCCCTCCAAAGAAGAAGGGAAGGAGAATGTACAAAGCAGAGATAAAGGAGGCCTGTAGAAGGAAAGGACTAATTAAATGCAGTGTCAAGATCAGCTCTGTCCACAAAGGAGGATAGCAAGGAGGTCATCGAACCACTGATACGCTGACATGAACTGCCAGGCATGGTGGTGTACATCTGTAATCCCAGCCCTTGGGGGTAGACATAGGAGAAGCACAAATTCAAGGCCAGCCTGGGCTGGCTAGACTATACCATAAGGACCTGTCTCTTTTTTTGTTTAAAGTATACAATTCAATGGGTTTTCCTGTACTCACAGAATTGTGCAACATAACTAAAATTAATTTCAGAACATTTTTACCTCTCCAAAAAGAAACATACCAATTAGCAGTCACTCTTCCATGTCCTCCACCCCTGGCAGCCATTCATGTATTTTATTTTTCTCCATAAGTTTGCCTGTTCTAGATGTTTCATATAAATGGAGTCATAGGCTGGGGATATGGCTCAGCATCCCAAGGTCAGACCAAGTACTAAAAAATATGCTCGATAATGAATACATCAATGAAGTCATACAATATGTGGTCTCTTGCATATGGCTTCCTGGCATGACACGTGTGTGTGTGTGTGTGTGTGTGTGTGTGTGTGCACACGTGTGTGTGTGTGCGTGTGTGTGTGTGTGTGTGTGCTGATCCTGGGGCGTAAACCCATAGACTGGGCACTGTCCCTGTGTGTTTGTGTTTAAGGCTAGTGCTCTACCACTTGAGTCACAGCTTGACTTCCTGCTTTTTGGACAGTTAATTGGAGATAAGGGTCTCACAGGCTTTTCTGCCTAGGCTGGCTTCAAACCATGGTCCTCAGCTCTCAGCTTTCTGAGTAGCTAAAATTATAGGTGTGAGCCAGCACCCAGCTTAGCATAACATTTTTAAGGTTCACCTCTGCCATATTGCAGCAGACCAACACTTGGCTTTTCTTCTTCTTTTTAATCAACAGAGAGTCTCACTCTTACCCAGTCTGGCCCCAAATTCCTGGGCTGAACTGACCCTCCTGCCTCAGTCTACAGGCATGTGTTACAATGCTCTGGGGTTCATTTAGGTTTTTTTTCTTTTTGGGGTGCCTGGATCATGTCTGCATATACACTGGACAAATACTGTCACTAAGCCACATCCCCCAGCCTGTATTCCTATTTACTTTTTAAATTCTTATTGTTATTATAATATATATATAGTATAATATATATAATTATGATGTACAGAGGGACTACATTGCATAAATCAGGTCGAGTGCATTTCATTTTGGGCAATGCCACCCCATCCCTCACTCCCGCAGTTCCCCCCAACATAGAGTCCAGTGAATACCATTGCTGTATTTCTTCCTATTTAATATTTTAAATTTTATTTCATTATTTTTTGAGACAAAGTCTCCTATATAGACCAAGCCAGACTTGAACGTGGGATCTTTCTGCCTCAGCTTCTGGAAGGCTGAAGATATAGGTGTGTACCACCATGCCCCACGTGTGTGCCCTTTTATTGCAAAAAAAAAAAAAAAAAAGCCATCACGCTAACATTATTCATTCTTCAGACATTTTGATTGCTTTTCTTATTTGTTATTGAGTCAAACTGCTATAAATATTCACATACATGTACATTGTACATGAAAGTACATTTTCATTTTCTTTGAGTATATATACCAAGGAGTAGAATTACCAGGTCACAGGATGACTCTCTGTTCATCCCTCTGAGAAACTACCAGACTGTTCTTCCTATCAACTGTACCATTTTACACCTTCATCCAATCTCTTTATCTTATTCCAACACTTGCTAGTGTTCAGATTTTTATTATTGCCATCCTATCATATATGAAACTGTATTTGGTTATGGGTTTTCATTTGTATGACTAATGATACTGTACATTGCACATTGGTCATTTGTACATTCTCTTGGGAGAAATGTCTATCTTGGCCCATTTTAGGTGTTGAGCCATGATTTCTTTATATATTCTAGAAATAAGACCTTTATAGATATGTAATTTACATATATTTTCTCTCATTCTTGGTATTGATTTTTTTATTGTGAAAATACTGTACAGAGGGGTTACAATTACATGGGCAAGATAATGAGTACATTTCTTATCAAGCATTGTAGCCTCCTCCTTTGTTTCCCCTTCCCATCCCTTCCCATCCTCCCTCCCCCTTGGTATTGATTTTTGATGGTTTTGAAGCACAAAAGTTTATATTTTGACAGTCTAACTTATTTGTTCTTTTTTGTTTCTGTGGCTTATGGTTTTGGCGGCATATGTAAAATCCCAATGTCTAATCCTAAGTCATCAAGATTTCCTTCATAGCCAGGTGCCAGTGGCTCACACCTTAATTTTAGCTATTTAGGAGACTGAGATCTGAGGATCGTAGTTCAAAGCCAGCCCAGGCAGGAAAGAGTCCATGAGACTCTTATCTCCAATTAACCACCAGAAAATCAGAAGTGGAGCTGTGGCTCAAAGTGGTAAACCAGTTGCCTTGAGCAAAATAGCTCAGAGACAGCACCCAAGCCCTGAGTTCAAGCCCTGCAACCATGTTGTTGTTGTTGTTTTTTCTAGGAGTTTTATGGTTTTAGCTCCTGCATTGAGATCTTTGATTCATTTTTAGTTAGTTCTTGTAGAAGCACAGCTTTTGAGGTT